CTGCAGCAAAATTTGGACATGTAGTCAAACCAGTCTAACTATAATGAAAACCCAGAACTAGAAAAGAGTGATAATCAGATCCCAAGTTCCCAAAATAGACATGTCTCTCCCTACTAAGAGAGCATTTTACTCTAGATCACTGTCTTGAATGTCCCCAAAGCAGTAGTTAGTTGCTCACTTGCTCTCTTAACAATATTACAAATGTGATAATAGTTAGTGTCATACATAGTGGCTAAGAAACACTCAACTCTAATTGACGAGACACAGGAAAGAGAGGCAACTGCCTAAAGATTACCTACAAGCTTATGTAAACAGAAAAGAATGGTCAAATTGTGTATCACAGGTCACTCACCAAGACAAACCCAAAATCACTCTATCAAGTTTTGGTAATAAAGCAGGAGGCTTTCTCAACAAATGTTAGGTTACCCCTTACCTGTAAAGCAGCATCTCTGGAATGAAGATAGGGCCACCAAACCATTGCAAACGTTCCCAGGACCACCAACCCCAATTTTGAAATCTCAAGCAAAGGATGTTTTCGTCTCAAGCACTTACCCAAGAGGTGGCTGAAAAATGCTGGTGCAAAATATGTACTCATCTGGAGAAGAAAAATATGAAGAAAAAAAAGAACTTTATCACTAGAATAACATATCCATAAGAACCAAGCAAAAGGATAACATATTTTTTTCAGATCATCACACACCACAAAGTTCAAGAAAAGGCACCATCATTCAGTTGTTCAATATTTGAAGGTGGCAATTCTCAGAACTTGAAATAGTATTTTATCAGCTCATAATGTATGACGGCCTCGAGTAGTTAACCAGTTCCAGTTGCACTGATAGCATTATGCCTGAGAAACACCTTTTAATAGCCCCATGTTTGACTCTCGGAATTTTAATAGCACATGCAATATCAAGGGCGTAGATAAACTCAGAATGACAGTATGTACATGTACCAACTAAAGTACAAAATGAAAATTCTACTTCACATACAGAATACATTTACGTAATGTTGCAGTATGACAGGATAACTATGAAAAAACAGAACTACAAGAGCATTCAAGAATTTTTTTTTACAAGACTCCTACTAACTTTTACAGGGAACCTGGCATCACCGCATCAGTGGATTGGGCAAAGGAATTGAACAAACAGTTGCCAGGAAGATGACAGTAGCTGTTGATTTTACCATTTCTCCCAATCCCTATCTATTATTATAAACTCTTCTGCAAAGAAAAACCTATCTCCTGACTCGTGAACTTTCCATGAAAACTTAAACATGTCATCCGTCAATCTAACATTTTCCATAAATAACAAACCAGTTCTTTTGCAAAGCAGACCAAAAGAAAAAGGTTACTCCCGCAAAAAGATTCCATGACATGTTGCCACCACACCTCATGAGGATTAGAGACAACGAAGCCTCATCCTGGCCCATCTACTGCCTAACCTAATTGTGTTGAAAATAAGAGGCAAATGGATCAACACCTGACAACCAGAAAAGGGAAACTTTCGTTGGATGCAACAAAAACAATCACTCAACCATCAACCAAGTACAAACACAAACATCACCAAGTTTGCCATTTCCTTAACATCTACCAGGTAAAGTGTCAACTCCCTAAAACCTTTCTAGTATACTACCTCCGCACATAATCAATCATAACATCGCAGGCAGGCAGGCAGATCGAACACAAAGTAAAAAGGAACATTTGCCATTCAAAGAGGCAATAAGGAGTTACCTGTTTATGGTTGAGAGACAGACAGAAGAGAACACAAGCTAACAGGTCTCTTTGTGAGAGAATGGCAGCAACAGCAGCCAAGGCCAGGCCCAAGCTGATGCAATTATACTGAAAGAGGATAGTTCTGAGGTGAGGATGCATACCCCCAACAAGATACCAGGTTAACAAAACAAAAGGACAAGGGGGAAAGCTTAAATAAGAGAGCACTATTGAGTTTTATAACCTGAAAATGCCCATGGTCAATCAAGACCAAGCACGGATTGATTAGAATGAGTAAAATGTGCCATGCAACATCAGCTTTACGGCCTCTTGAATGAACATCATAATAGGCATGAATAAAATAAAGGACAGAAGGAAAGAATATCAGGAGATCAGATGACAGAACTGTGAATCTCATGAGTAGCTTCCTGTAGATGAGACACAAAAGGAAAGAAATTTAGTTTCCAAACAACTGCAGTGCGAAAAACAAGATGGACACGCTGCTTGAATCCAGATAGGTCAGAAGAGAAAACAACATTTAAGGCAATGGTGCTCACCCAGTATATGATTCATAACCACGCGAGGTAAAGAGGGTAACTGATTCGGGGTCAAAGAATCTGAGGAAAAGTCCATGAATATAGCTTTGGTAGGCAGTAAGAGGTGGGTAATCAAGACCCCAGTAACTCAAATCATTTTTTGTGCTATTAATATACCAATCTTGAGCAGGAAGGTTAACTGTGATCTCCATCCAATGCCTCTGTGCTTCATAATCGCCAAACTTGGGGGGATTTCCAGCACCAGAGTATGAATGTAATGAGACAGTCCAGCGAACCAACAATCCGAACATTGAAATGCACAGGAAAAAAGATGCAAGGCCTTTATGCAACAACCACCAACAGACATCACCATTTTTATTGTTATCCAGTTCTACGTTATCCTTCCCCACTTTTCCTCTGTTGTTTCTGTCCATTTCTCTTGATCCTACAGGGTCATTTGGTGCACTTCGCCTTAAAAACTCATCTCAAACAAGTATCTGCACAATCAAGTAACAATTTGGATAAATTAAGCATCAGACTGTCAAAGGGGAAAGAAAAGGGCCACTATATCATCACATTTCTGTTCTCGTATATAACTGGAAAAGCTGTGAGCTTGCCATAGTTTCCATTTTTACTCCCAGAACATCCATCACTCCACTGATCTAGAAGTACACATACTGCATCATCATACATGTACCTCTACTAGTTCGAAAATCACTACGTACTATGTAATGAAGCACCCATTAACAAGCAAAAAAAAAGAAAGAACCTTCTTTTATACTCAAACAAATGCTAAGCGAACCACTACTGTAACAACAAAACACTACTACTCAAGTCTATCAGAATTGGCAAACCGCAACTTGACTCAAACCAATACTACGTGAATCAGAAACCACAACTACTGCAGATGAAGCCATTACTGTAACAACAAAATCACTACAACTCACTTCTAGTAGCATTGGCAAACCACAGGTGGACTTAAAGCACTACTGCTGCTAGTGAAGCCACTACTATAACATCAAAATCACTACTAATCAAGGCTAATTCTCTTCTTCTTCTTCTATACATCCTTGAGAAGACCAACCAAAAACATTGATAGGCACCCACATTTTCGTTCTCTTTATACAACTTCTCCTTCACTCAGCCACTGATCAGTATTTTCCATCCTTGCATAGACTAACCCTGCTATTTCCCCAATAATACATTATACATCAAACATCAGTGTTTGTAATAGTTCATCAATTCCTCCTTACTATTTGTAGAAAAATCCTTACAGTATCTAAAATTGGTAATATATATCGAGCGAAACAAGAAAGAACCCCCAAAACAATACTTATGTCAACCATATTGCTACGGTACCAATCAACATTTGCAGGGGACAAGAGTATGCTCTGCAAAAATCTATGAAAACACTAATGCCTTCGGAAACATTCATAAATCACTAGGAATTCTGAGAAACACTACTAATCTAGATCTAAAAGCTCAGCACTTTGTTGTAGAAAAATGAATACGCTCCGGCGACTCTGCGCAAACAATAGGTGAGAAAGACACCAGATCCAACATCCAAATTCCAAACCAACCCTCATGCCTCCATATAAGAAAATCACCGAACAAGAAAATCATATATATGGAAAGTGGAAACCCAAAACAGAAAACAAGAGACGACCTGCAATTGCGCCGATGAGCAAAGCGAGAGTCGGAATACTGCATCAAAAAAAGAACACTATACCTAGACAGGCCAAAGGAATGAGGTAGCAATGACTCCGACTGTGGCACCGTTAGTGACGAAGGCGAAGGAGACGAAATCGAGGGCGAACAAGGGACGACAGGGCTATGACCGTTCTGAAGAATCGCCCGGCTAATTGCCGCGTCTGTGAATTGGGGAAGGGTGGATCTGTGTGTGTACTGTTTCGGGCTCCAGCTTTTCGCTCCATTTTATTGGAGAGTATAATTTGACCCTCCAACTTTTCAAATTTGATTGTTTCGGTACACGTACTTTATATTGGGTCGAACTGGTACACAAATTATTTTCTTAATCATGTCGGTGCATGAACTTCCTATCTAATGATTAGTTCGACACCTGAACTTTCATATAGGCAGTAACAATTATGCCAATCAATCAAGGCAAACATTTTTTTTTTTATGTAATCTTCTAAATTTGAACACAATCTTTTTTTTTGGCTAATTCCGACGTCATTAATGAAGAAAATACAATAACTGATGAACGCCATATTGAGTGTGTGTGTGTATAGGCTGTTTGGTTTTGCTGAGTGTGGATAGTTATAGTAGTGGCGATAAGTTATAGTATATGCGTGACCCAGTTTCGATTACGCAAAAATTATGTACAATTTTCTCAAGCTATGAAAGGGTTAACTGATTCGACGAAAAAAAAAATACAAAAAAATACAATACTGAATGGCAGGAGTTCCGCTGTAGATAGCGAATCTGTTTGATATGCGCGTGTCGTCGAGCCGAATTCATGGATTGATTAATCAGATAGAACGACTCTATCCCGTTAAGAAACTATTGAATCTGTTTGATATGCCGGCCATCTAATATCATTTTTTCCTCCAAAATCACCTCCATGATCAACGTCAACCTCCTCGTTTTCTTATCCTTTCCCTTTCAAAGGATAAAACAGACGTAAACTACAATAATAAACCACCACCTCTCCCCTCTATCAACAATAATAATAGATATTCACTAGGAAATTAAGGATCAGTTTAGTTTTGCAGTCAAGAAGAAGAAGAAAGACGATGATCAAGAAGCTGCAGGCTCTGCTGGGGAAAACATTCAAGGCGTCGAGGTACAAAACGCTGTCGGATCTGGTGATCTCCAGGATCGCGTACCTCGAGAGACAACACAAAGCACGCTGCTCCCAAGCCACAGACGACGTCGCTCAGCTCCTCGCCCAAGGCCACCTCGAGCGCGCTCTCCTCCGTGTACTTAATCTTTAACTTAGTCTCACTAATCACATCGTTTAATCTTAGATTAATTGATTTGATACTATCCTGCTTGATGATCTTGGGCCAGGTGGAACACGCGATCAGGGAGCAGAACGTGCTGGATTCATACGCCATGATTGAGAACTACTGCCATCTCATCTCCGAGAGGCTCGTCGTCATTGAAACCCATCCCAAGTACGTATTAATTAATACGTACGTACGCGTGGTTCACTAATACGATGGATGATGATGTGTGTTAGCTTAAATCCACGAGCCGCGCGATGTATGTATGTATGTAGGGAATGCCCCGAGGAGCTGAAAGAGGCAATATCGAGCTTGATCTTTGCAGCGGCCACGTGCGGGGATTTACCTGAGCTGCAAGAGATGAAGCGGCTTTTCACTTCCAGATATGGCAAGGAGTTTACAGCTCGTGCCACTGAGCTCCGCAATCACTGTGGTGTTCATCCTGGGGTACGTATATAATTATACCCAATTGATTATGATCACCTAGTTCGGACAGAAAAAAATTTCCAAAATACTATGGTTAATAAAAAAAAATTATTTCCCTCCAAATTCTAGAGTTGGGAGCGGTTCGTTGGAGTACTGTCTCCAACGAATCAGTTCGCTTGAGTATCTGCCGAACCAAAAACTGGATCGTGGCCGAGAAGCACGAACTACGACAAACTTTTGGGTGATCGCCGCAACCGAAACCAAGCGAACTGCACTAAAACATATATAGGTGATTCGCTGGACGCCCTTGCGATGTACACCTAATGACCTAGGTCAAAAACTTCTGACGGTTATAGTTTTACGCCCGGTTATTCGATCTTAATTACGGATTTTTTTTTCTCCCGATTACGCATGACTTTTCGAGATAAGATAACCGAGTACAAATTTACGAAACATTGGGAGTTTCGCCCTAGGTAAGGTGTGAATCGTGGGGGGTTAATTAATTATCAGCGAGCTGATGTAGTTCGCTACTGTGACCCATGTTGTTTCGAGGATGGTTCGCTTGAATCGGCCGCTATCTAGGCCCTTTGAGAGTAAATCGCTCCATTGTCGCTCGACATTGGAGCGAATTGCTCCACTTCGCAAAATAACAGCAAGTCTACCTATAGTAACCCTGCATATAATTTTTTTTTTTTTTTCTATCTTCCTTTACAGATGGCAAATAAGCTATCGACGAGGCAACCAAGTTTGGAGAGCAAAATCAAAGCGCTGAAGGAAATAGCTCCAAAGAGTGAACTCATCCCTCAAATAGAGGAAGCGCCGGCCGTCTCCACAACAAACCCTAAACCACTCAACACTCCTCCTCCACACCATCCCAACAACAAGTACAAGGATTTCGAGACAGCGGCCCACGCAGCGTTCGAGCTGTCGGCTCAGGCAGCCACCGCGGCTCGAGCTGCCATGGAGCTGTCTCGTCCGCCTGCTAGTGGCGGTTCGAGCTCGGGTACGTTGGTGATGTTGGGGAGAAGTAGTACTGGGAAGTCGACTAGGTTTGCTGCATCTAAGGACTATGTTCCCAAGCTATTCAACAGGAGTGCTAGTGTCACAATGCTCGAGCGTCGCCCTCCAAATATTGGAAGGTGATGACGCTTCTTTTAACTATGTTTCGCCTGGTATTATGTATGTATTTTTTTTGCTACAATAAGGTGAGTTATTGCCCTAATCTCTAAAACTCGGAAACCCCAATTATCCCCACCTTCGAAGGTGGTGTTATCGCGCTCTAGCTCGAGATTTGGTGTATAGTAAGAGAAGAAGTTTGTTTGCTACATATGGTTTTGATTGTCATCTCTCGAATTCATTGCATGGCGTGCAAACGAAATCGTATTGTTTGTTTAAAAGTTGTTAGATGAATCGTTCTTTAAATGAGTCGTTGTATATTGTTGTTAATTTGCACTTACACATGTAATATTTCGTTTTTTTTTTGTGTGGCTATTCTGATAAAAATCGACCGTGTACGCAGAATTATTTTGCAACCAACAAAACATACTATTTCGGGTAAGGGGTGATGTATAAACTAATTTTATATAATAATTTCATGTTACCTTACTTTTAACGGCTCCGGGAGTCTCGAATTTAGACTAATTACGAAAAAGCATGGCGAGTGCCCTGCAAAATTATGGTGTTTGTGAATGGAAAAGATGCAATATTGCTGGGTAGATGACCGGCGAGATGGATGCATCTATCTGGTTCGGTGTGCGTTAATTGTTAAAGACGGAGAAGAGAGCTCGGATGCCTGGGGAGAGTTGTGACTTATTCTTAAAGGTGGCAGCTCTGGTGACACGACGAGCAGGAGTGACGAGAGATTGATGGAGACAATGAGATAGTAACCCTCTTCGTCGTGTGTGAAATTTTGGGGAAAGAGTTTTTATATAAGGGTGAGAGAGGGGTTTTTTTATTATTAGGTGATACTCGAAAGATATGAACCTGTGATCTTCAAATTGAAAACTAGTGGTAGTACCACTATACTAAATTCTTGTTTGCAAGAAAAAAAAATAAATAAATTGCGTGGAGACAAAGCAATGATAAGGTAAACAAATTATAGAAAGAGAAGGATAAAAGTGGGTTTATGAAAAAGAGGCAAAGACAAAATTGAAAAATCTTAGCTAAATGATGAGTCATTTGGAAATGACTCGCGGAGAGAAAATAATTTGAAAATGACTCGATAGAGTCCTTTGAGACTTTCATATGAAATAAATGACCCATACAAACAACCCCTTAACTTCTTTGACTCATAATAGCTTTCTTATTAATTTCCTTTTTGCAATTTATTATTCATTATAGCGGATCCATCTAGAGGCGGAGCTAGAAGATTGATACAAGTCTGTTCTTTTGCGAAGGATGCCATTAGAGTGTAGGGATAAATTAGTGCGACTTTGATAACTCATAAATTATACATGTTTTCACTTTTTCTAGTACAACCTTTCCTTTGCCATTTTAGAAATATTCATTTGTTTTGGCGAGATTATGCTTGCTTTGTTGTTTAAGTGTGTTCTAGGTCATTAGGATTGAATTTGACGATATTTAGACAAGAAATGCACAAAGTATGAAAGTTTTTGAGCATTGGATGACTTGGAGTTGGAGCGCACTTGGAATGCATTTAAGACAAAGTACGCCTATGTAGCCTCACGACCATGGAGCTGACCGTTGGAAAATTCCATCTACATTCCAAATCCCCACGACCGCAAGGCAAACCTTGAGGAGCCCACTACCATGACACTTTCTTGGAGCTGTCACCAGGTTACTTATCGAGTCCGCTCCCTGCTCTATTATGTGGGTTTATAGTTAGTGCTGCAAATGAGTCGAGTTTAGTCAAGTTTTGACCTAACTCATCCTCAGTTCATTAAAAAAATAGTCAAGCTCAAAATCGGATTGATTACTAAGACCTTGTCTCAAACTCACCTCGAGTATGACTCGAGCTTGATCTCCATGAGCTCTGATCAAGCACACCTCATTTGTGATTCTAAATGGTTGAACCCCTAACAAAAACTCTAACATACCATACATGATACATGTGATTAATATATTGATAAGAAAACTAATGATATTAAATATTTGCATGACTAATTACTCTCTCGCTTATATACTATGCTGATATCATAAATTCTAACTAGTTCATATCATGTTGTTTAATAGTAATTAGTATCTAACTGACCTTTATTAAATAATTTTGCTTTAGAATGATAAATGATACATATTTGGTCATGTACTTACAGTTAAACAATGCTTCTTACCAAAAAAAAAAAAGTTTAAACAATGTTATATATGTTGAGAAATACATAATCTAACAAACCTGTGAACAGTCAACAACTCAACTCATAAATTCAAGATTGGTATGTTAATAAGTCGCTAGTCGAGCTATAGCTCGGTAGGCACACCATCGAGCCAGTTCATGAACTCAAGACGAGCGAGTTCGCGAGTTGAGACCAATGAGTCATCAAATCGAACTGGCTCACGAGCTTCACATATAAAACAAATCTTAACTCAATCTCGAATCGTTAATAAACGAGACAGGCAAACGAGATTTTCCAAATCGAATGTCGAACCGTTCGTAAGTCACTTGGCTCATTTGACGCACTAAATATAGCAAGTATGTAAGCGGAGGGGTTTCCATATTCTAGTCAATGTGGCCAAATATCAACAATATAGTTGATGCTCCTCCTACCCTTTGTCCCTTTCTCACTAATCTCTACTTGTTGAAGAAATCTTCTTTGACGTGTACACACTAAGCAGGTGCCAAAGGGAGAGCCAAAACCGAAGCCTGCTGCCGATTGCATCCATCCTTCCACTTGCATGGCATCGGATTTCACATCACAGCACTCTCAAAGACAAGAACCTACCCCTTCTCCTTTGTCTTTTGGCCAATTCCTTTGGCACATCCGATGATATAACAACATTAACATCAACAGGTTAAACAACCGTTGCAGTTTACATTAGTTTACCACTTTTACAAATATTATTTTTATCACAATTCAAAGCTGGATGGTATGGAGATAAAAAGACCTTCCACAGAAGACACCAGAATCCAGCCAATTGGGTCATTGAAATTGCTGTCACAAATAAGCATACTCAGGCAAACGACTGTGATGGAAGATAATGGTCACAGACCAAGTTCCTAATTGTTATTAGCCTAGACAAAATCTGAATGCCCCCCCTTATATATAACAATCAAGTAATCAATAACTTAACCTCACTAGCTAGCCTGGACAAAGGCCTGAAGTTTTGACCAGACACCATAAGCAAAACAAGGAACAGAGGGAGACATGGGTAGAAAACTGGATGCTCTTCTGGGGAGAAACTTCAGAGCCTGCAAATTGAAGGTTGTAACAAACCTTGCTGTCTCAAGGATCACCATCCTCAGAAAGCAGAGGCAAGCTCGGTATTCACAGGCCAGGTCCGATGTGGTCGACATCCTGAAACTTCAACAACACGAAAGAGCACTCATTCGCGTAACCTTCATTCCCTTATTGGAAATTGCCTCCACATCAGGATCTTAGTTTCACCATTTTTCCTTTTCCCACTTTTTGCAGGTAGAGTTTGTGGTGAAGGATCGAAACATGCTCGATGCGCTTGACATGATGGAGAACTACTGCAGGTTCCTGATAGAGAGAGTCATGCTTCTTGAGAAGAACAAGTTGGGTCTCAAACTTGCTTGTTTGTTTAATGAATTCACGTTTGCTGATTTCCCACATGTTCCGACTGGGTCACTAATTTATGATCACCTTGTTTCTGTTTGTGAAGAGAATGCCCAGATGAGCTGAAGGAGACAATCTCAAGCTTGATCTTTGCATCTTCGAGGTGTGCAGAGTTCCCTGAACTGCAAGAGATTCGTGGCATCTTCCAACTGCGATTCGGGAAGGAATTCATTGCTCGAGCCATCGAGCTGCGCAACAACTGTGGAGTAAATCCAAAGGTATGTAGTAAAAGAGGTACCAGAAAGATGGTTATGAAGCATTTACTTAAACAACAATTCTGAAACAACTCTTCTCTTTATTGGCTAAGATCATCCAGAAGCTCTCAGCAAGGCAGACAACCTTGGAAAGCAGTATTGAATTGTTGAGAAGCATTGCTTCTGAGGTCCATCTCACCCTCGATTTGAAACTCCATGATCATCTACCACATGCAGTTGAGATAATGAGAAAGGACATCGCCGATAATCATCAAATGAAGCAAGAAAGTTCAATCCCAGATGAAGAGCTTTCGTCTGAGCCGTTAAGAGCAAGAAACAAGTATACAGATGTAGCAGCTGCTGCACAGGAAGCTTTTGAATCAGCAGCTTATGCAGTCACAGCTGCTAGAGCTGCAATCGAGCTCTCAAGATCCAGATCTCACCACTACTACCAAGATGATCACGACACTAGCAGCTCAGAATCGGAAAGTGATGAAAAAAGCACCAAGCTTGATTCTGCTACCAATGGAAAAGTTGCAGAGTCACCCACAATCATGGATAAACAAATTGTTTTATATGAGGCCTACGAGGAAGAAGAGGTTGAAAATAATCAGCAGCTACATGGGAACATACCAGCAGTACTAGAGCACCATAACTTGGACCAAGAAAGTGGAGAAACCCTAAACTGGGATGTGCTAAAAGTTTCATCAGATATACACTCAAGCAATTTGGAAAAGCAGTTACATGTTCCCCTATCTAGGAGAGTGAGGAAGAACTCACATTAATAAAACACAATCCTTGAAGGAGAGGGATTCTTCTTTTTTCCTTATTTCTGTTTTCTTTTTCTAGCTTCTATAGTCTAAAGATCCAGTAGCTGTCAAGAAAGAGGGCAAATAAAAATTATCAACTAAGATGAGAACTTGACCAATTCTCCATTACATGGATTACTCTCTTTTCTAATCAATACCATACTAGCTTGGACCCTGCCCTTTGGCCAGGTAATTAATTTTTTCATTGGAAACAGACTAATCTGCTTCAAAGAGAAACTGAAAAGTGCAGCTGATCCATGAGTGGACTCCAGAGTCTCTCATTAGTCATTCTAACATACACGAAGAGGGAAACCCACCTTGTACCCGAATCGACAAGCATTCAACTTCTACATCCGGATGCCAAAGAACAGGATTCTACGTTGGCCCTCATCAGATGCTCCAGGTTCAAACTACAGAAGCTACTAGTATAAGCAGCAACCAGAATATAAAGCAAGTAGAGTATGCCAACACTATCAGCCTAACATTAACCTTTTTCATTTCATGATCATAGTTCAATTGCTCTTTCGGTATTAATATAAACCAGTCAAGACCAGACCGTATACTGTTGAAATCTCAAAAATGAACATAGGATGACAAAAGAATGAACATAAAACTGCTTTACAACATCAATGCGAAAACTTACAAGCAAGCCACTTTAAGCACTGCCTTCGCTAGGTAACTTCGACGTGTTGTTAGACCAAACCTTTTCTCCTAACCAAAAGGTTCATTTGCCAAGTTCCAGCTTTTTCCTCTGTGTCAACCTCAGTATTGATGTATGGTTGTGTGGCTGGCTGAGAGCAATATCCATCTGTTGTACATGTAACCCGAATTAGAACTCACTATGAGCTTTTGTTGGTGGTGGCTTTCCCCTTGCTGATTAAATCAGCAAGCTGGTTTAGAAGGATGGTCATCTGCTTATGTGAAATCCACGGCTTGCTCTCCAGCAACTTCTGAAGCTCCACCAAGGCATCTTGATGCGGCCAAAAATGGTAAGGCGTTAGAGGAATGGGGCCATGCCTTGGTATCACTTGGTCCAACGCCACACCAATCACATCCTCCATCCACAGAAACTTCAATACTATTCTTGGTTTCTCCATTGGCTTCACCACCACTCTCAGCTTCTGTCAAATTGCAGCAGAAGATTGGCATAAAAGCAGTTAACAAAGGAGAAGAAGTGTCCCCAGTTGCATTTCATGGAAACCATTGGGGCCAATTTATTTACCTCTTTAAGCAACGGGGTGTCTTGTTGAGAAAGAACCGGTTCAGCTGCCGACGCAGAAAGCTTCAATTTTACTGAGACGGAAGAAAAGATGGAGGGTTTAAGAAAGAGGGTTTCTCTGTTCGGGTGTTGCGAAGAAGAAGAAGGGAATTGGGATAAGGGTTTGACAGAAATGTCTCTGGTATTCAGCTCCATGGCCATGGATGGATGCTATAATGATAATCTGGTCGGGTGGGTTTGTGATACTGATTTCGTATTCTCTACTGGGAACAGGATTACACCACTTCAGAGTTCAGACACGGGCAACTGGGGAAGGACCAAATTGGCACATTTGTAATTATCACGGTTTCCCATGAGACTAGATCAAGGTTGTCAAGACCGTTGGATCGATTTAGCAAGTGCAATGGTTCTACCGGTGGCACAACCGGTTTGTGCCAGTTCATATCGGTTTAACAAAATATGTGAAAAATCATTAACATCAACATTTAAATACGACATTTAACATGAATAAGTGTTTATACTTGAATTTGACAAATAACATCAACATTTAACTTTTAAATTCATAAAATAAATTATAAATTATTTTTTAATTACTTAAATTCATTAAAACGACATCATTTTACTTAAAAGTGTTAAATCGATCATGTCGATCATACCGGTGGTGTTCATGTCAGTTTCATGACATACTGGTTGAACTTGGTTCAACCATTGTCGATCATACCAGTGGTGTGACAACTATGCTCTACATATATTGTAACAAGCACAAAATTCACAAAAAATAAAACCAAAAGCATAGGTTTGTACACTAAAACTTTGACTTATGTTTAACATGAGTTCGGCTTATCAATGAACTAACGAGCTTTACTCAATTTCAGCTCATCAATTAGCTCGCGAGATCGGATGCAGCTAAGGTATCATATCATCTCTTTCATAACTTTTATTTGTTCATATCATGTTATCAAATAGTAACTACTATTTGAGTAATCTATGATACATAATTTCTTTTTTAAATTATAATAAATGAGACATATTTGATAATGTGATCAAATTCTTAAACATCGTATGAGATGAAGTATGTAATCTAATAGGCATATCAATTATTAACAAGCCAAAAATAAGCTAGAAGCCAATTCGCTCATAAGTTGCTAGTTGAGCTAGCCATACTATCGAGCTAGCTCCATCAACTAAAACGAGCTAGCTCACGAATTGAGTTCAAAAAGTTATCTAGTTGAGCTGGTTCACAAGCCTTGCAAGCCAAACAATTAGCTCAAACTCGACTCATTAGTAAATGAGCCGAATATTGGACGAGTTTATCCTGAGCCGATCGCCAAACTGATTGTGAGCAGCTTGACTCATTTGCAGTTCTTCCACGGACGGTTGGTTGAACGAATGAACTTCAGTGCCATACAATAAACCACCAGGCTTAAGACCATGCTTCCACATGGTATTTACCATCCCTCTCCAACCTCCTTATCAGCACTGCAGCTGCTTCTCTCGCCACTCCACCCTCTTTCGATATGATTTCTTCCACAGCCAGCATCACATCAGAAGGCATGTTCGTGGAAGAGCCTGCAACGTAGATGGCAGCGCCGCCTTCTGACAGCGCTGCCCATATTTTCTGGCTCTGTTCCCGCATCTTGTGCTGCACGTAAACTTTCTGAGGCTGGTCTCTCGAGAATGCAACGTAGAAACCTCCACCTCTTGCTTCAGAGAGCAATCCACCGTCATGCGAGTGAGATAGCCACAAGTCCCTGTATAAGAAGTCATCGCCTTCATTTCTGCAGCCAAAGAAGAACATGATGGGAGCAGCTGAGCTGGACGTATCGTGTGCAGCTCGCTCTGCTAGAAAGCCACGGAAAGGCGCACAGCCTGTGCCAGGGCCGATGAGGATAAGTGGAAGTGATGGTGGCGGTGCAGGGAGAGAACCTTTGTGAAACCATGATGGAATTGTTACACCTGTTGATTAATGCTATTAGTGCATTCATCAGGTGTAAAACATGCTGGAATTGTTACAAACTGTATTTTAAAGATATAAGTTTAGAAGTTGAAGCAAGACACCAACAGGTGTAAACCTGTTCAATCATATGGTTCTGGCAGTCTTACCTTGTAGGGGATCAAGACTAGCTAACCATGATGAACAAAGACCCATCCTTTTCCTTTTAAAAGGTGTCGTCCATGAGACTACACTCACTGTCAAGTGGACTTGGTTGGGATGGGCTGAAGGAGAAGAAGCAATGGAGAAAGCCCGTTTTCTCAATGGTGGAACCAACTCTACCAGCCATTCAAATGGCATTTGCACAGAAGGGAAATCCTCTAGAACCTGCACGTAAGAAGATAGAAAGTTTCAACGCCTTGCAACTCTAGATTTCAGAAGCCAGACTTTGCATATCATGCTTCACAAACAGGAAAACAAGTAGCTGTAATAGAAGGATGAAGCAATGATAGATAACTAAAAGTGTCCTGTTTAACTAGCTGTTGTGTATTGCATTTTACTCCCAGTAAGTTACTGCCCGTTTGGGGTGTCAGATCCAAGCATCTTATAAAGTATTTGTTGGGATTATCGTGCTTCAATTTTTTAAACTTGAAGTGCAGAACTGGTATAACAGACTTATAATCATGATTGCAACAACTGCAGTCAACCAAAATTATATTCAATTCAACTTTAGTGTCTTCTAAAACATGGAAACGTCATTTTTGTCACATGGAACATGCCAAGATGCAGTATATTTTCCCTCTAATTGACAAGACTATCAATGCAAACGAATCAGTAAGGCTAAGAATTGAGGGTGAAACCAGAACACAACCATAATACAGAATTAGTGAATTACATTAACTTAAAAGGTTTACCTCCAAAACAGTCCTCCTTTCCTTCTGGTTGTATTGGTACAAATCATCTCTACCTTCAGGTGATACGAAATACTCGAGTCGCTCCTTTTCATGTTCTGCAGTTGCAAAGTAGCTCATAACCTACAAAGGATAGTAAAAAGTAATTCATCATTTGTTTACTAACTGTTAGAAAGACACATGAGAACACATTAACTCCATAACAAACTTCTGTGTCAAGCCCTCATGTAGTATTAAGTAGTCTGCATGAGAAATGCACAAAAGAAAAAGAATAGTTAAGGTCCTCGCCTCAAAGAAATAGCGCCTAGGTGAAGCTGAGGTGACATCCATAGCCAGTTCAACATATTTTTTTAAATTTATGGGCAATGCTTGGCCACTTTTGGAGCCATCTACAAGGTGGCTTCCCCGCTGCTTGGGGCACACCTACAGGGAAGAGAAATTGCAAATTATTAAAGCAGAATGGAGAAAAGAAGAAAAGATAACTTAATATAATGTCGGCAAAGTTATTTAAGCATCCTACACTCAAAGAAGCAAAGACAAACAAACAAGTGAAACATTATGTATCGACCAAAGAATGGAACATGGAAGAGAGAGAGAGAAACGACACTAATGAAATGGACCAGCAGCTTGGGTGCTAAGTACTTTCAGCACAATCCCTGCCATAGACACAGAAACTTCCCCATTGGAATAATAGAAGTGCCAGTGCCAATCTAAGAATAATAACTATTACTCACAGTGATAAATGCTTCAGGGTCCAAATTGCAACGCTGTATGAACGCATCAACTAAATCAGGGTTTTGACTGGGGAGAACTTCAAGGACATCACCGACATCATAGCTAATTGTCTACATAGTTCAAAACATAAACAACATAAAAAATTTGTCAGATTCAGCTGAAGTGCTAGACAAGGGCCTGAGAGATAAACTGGAAGAGAAGTCAAACTGAAAACTTACAGATGGAAAAAATTCAAACTCGAAATGCCGCACATCTCTCCCACATCCTTTCCTAGTTAGTGGCTCATTTCTGACCTACATGAGCACGCACAGTTACTCAGATAAAGAACCACAATAGAAGCGGTGGCAATGGAACTACAAAAAGGAGAGACCAGAGCAAAGACAACACTTTCTGTTGCAAGAAATCGTCTGCAAACACAAGCCGAATATCTCTGAAATTAATTTAACCATAATACCCAGGTTACCTTCTTACTATTCTATATGAGTGCACCTTCGTATTCTTTTGATGACTAAACAACACCATCAATGCTCTTTTTTGTCATCATTCAACATATTGAAATATATATTATACTTTTCCCCATAGTTTCCACAACCGTCTCAGAGTACCATAACCTCTTCACAGGATACAAGTGTAACTACATTTCAAGGGTCCAAAAATATAAAAGTTAGTGGTTTCACTATTTTTGGATACATAACATCTACTCTTTAAATTAGGGAAGTGTATACCGCAAATAAAAAAGGTGTACCAAAATCTATCAAGTTGCAAAAGGAGAATATAGTGAAGAACTCCCAGAATAGTACTATTAAGCAATGATGTGGAAGTGCATACTGCAGCATCTAACATTATAACAATATTGAAGCATACCCTATTACTATTTACTAACCCCTACCATTTTAAGAAAAGCATCAGGAGTACTCTTGTCATAAGAAAGTTTTGCAGGAGACATCGAGCGAGCCCTCTCAATCTCCATTGCAGGACTTTTTGAATCTGAAACAACCACCAGTGACAGAGCAGTGAGGAAAGTCTCAGAAAATTGTGTCTTTTGAATAAGCAAGAAACAGTAATCGCTGATTAATTCCTCCACAAAATCAACTTGTGTAAGCAGTTACAGCTTCAAGCACTCAAGTATTCTGGCAATGAAGAAACTACAACAGCAAATATATTTTAAAGTTGACATCTATAGCACCATAAATCACGTCAGTAAAAGCAACAATAATAGGATGCAGGCTGTATCGCCAGGTGAACAGGGCAAATCTATAAACACAAGGAACTAGCAGCTTAGTTAAGCTTAATTAAAATAACATTGGCACCTAGCTTGATGCTAACAGTCTACCAAATAAAGGAAGGATAATTTTCATCCCAGCGAAAGAAAAAAAGAGAAATTCTAATTGATTCAATCACCTGTTACTGACAGCCCAGCCTGCAGCAGGCCTAGTTCATGGTAGACAATTTGGTATTTGGGTTGATCAAGCAATTGTGATGTCGGAGGGATATAATCAGGGCCATGCGGAAAGAAAGTTGGATTAATTTGATACAGGACACGCCACAAGGATGTCATCCATGGGTCCAAAGCACCTTCATACCTGGAAATAAGTCAGCATTCACTATTCAGAATACGTTGG